CTGACCCTAATCCTGACGTCTAGCCTAACCCTTAAGTCAACCCTAACCCTTAAGTCAACCCTAACCCAGACATCTAGTCTAACCCTGACCCTAATCCTGACGTCTAGCCTAACCCTTAAGTCAACCCTAACCCTTAAGTCAACCCTAACCCAGACGTCTATTCTAACCCTGACATCTAGCCTAACCCTTAAAGTCAACCCTAACCCTCAAGTCAACCCTAATCCTGACATCTAGCCTAACCCTTAAGTCAACCCTAACCCAGACATTTACCGTAATATTCAGTCCACCCTGAACCTGACACCTGAAATATCTGACAAACACTAAACCCATTAACAGTCCTAATGGGTCTTACTCTGGGTCCTTAGAGAAGAACATTTCTACATGAACAAATCATCCTAAACGAGGTTCTAATCGATTAAGAGAGCAGACCTATGATTCTGAACAGTTTTGTCCTCCTGGTAGGACAGGACCATTTGGTTCGGTGGCTTCCTGACAGATCTTCCTCACCAGGAACACCTGCCTCAGATTTTACCTGGGAGTGGGTTCAGTGGGAGGGGCTGAGCGGTGCATGGTGATTGGTCGGGTGAAGTAAACAAGACAACCCGTGCCACAGAAACGAGCTCCCGATGTCCGAGGAAACGGGATGTTGGCATCCTGAAAGAAACGCAGCCATCGTGTTAATGAAGAGGATCATCATCATCATCTTCAGAGAGCAGGAGCATTACCTGATAGGAGCCGTAGGTGTTGGTGACCCGTGGAAATGCCTGCAGGGACGGAGTCACCGGATTGGACAGGACAAAAGGGCCAGAAGCAGGACTGTCCTCCTGAGTCTGATGGGAAGAAAGACGAACAAAGTGCTAATCCTGATGCCGCCTGCAGGCCAGCGGAGGCACCAGAGCTACAGAGGCAACTGGAGCGGTCCATTGAGAGGTTTCTGTCCCGGCTCCAGGGTTCTCACCATGTCAGACTCCAAGCAGGACACCAGCTGCCGCACGCATGGCTCCAGACAGTTCTGGTTCCTCTTTACTTTTTGTAAAGAAGTATCAGTCAGGATCTGAGGCAGAGAAACATCCAGTCGTCAGTCCCAATGGAGGACGTTAATGCCCCTTTCTAACCAGTACCAACTCTGGGCCATTCATTTCCCCGACATATCCGTCCAGTGTGGCACCTACCTTCTGGATCTTGATCTTCATGGCAGAGGGGATGGTTGTCGGGGAGACAAACTGGAACGAGGGTGCTGCGTTGTTAGGGTACTGAGCCGGAAACTTAACAACCAGGTGAACCTGATGACTTCCGAAGTGGGCCGACACCACACAGCTCCGATTCATGGCGTCCATCTGCGAGCAAACACACACAGGTTGAACAGATGAAGCATACGGGTCGGTTCAGACCCGGCGGCTATCCAGGGTCCTGAACCTCACCTCCACGTTGACGTTCCTGATCTGCAGGTTGACCAGAGAGAACTCCTGCTGCAGAGTCTGAGCCAGACCAGAACCTGTAGCTGATTCCTGACGGCCGGCGTCCGGATCTGAGAGAAGAAGGACCAGAATTAGAAGATAAAGCCATGATGATGTCATTCTCTGTGCTTCCATCACTCTGTGATTTTAATTAATGCCATCAAGTTGTTAAGTGTAAATCCATCTACAGAAACCAGGGTAGCTCCCGCAGTGAGCAGACTACGTTTGGCCTATTTACTGCAACATTTATCACTTTATCTGAACTAATAGTTTAATATTAGGAAATCTTAGCTTAAACATTAGCTATCAAAAACAAATAAACATCCGTCTTTCCTGAAATGAACGCAGCTTTTAAGCAAAACATTGTCAGACTGCAGAGATCCATAGGTTTAAACTATTAAACTGTGTCATCTGCATAAAATGTAATTCAGCGTTTGATAAATCATCAAAATTATCGTTTACTTCTAGAGTAAAAAGCTCCTGATATGGAGCAAATATAAAGTTTTTATGGAGGGAATTTTACTCCATTATTGTTGCAAGCAAAGGGCACTTTTTTTATGAAAAAAACAAAAATGTTTTATAAACAAAACTGTACAAAAAAATGACCTTTTTAATTTGACTTTTTCTCAGAATTTGTATTTGTTGCTCTCGTCGAGTTTTACGCATTGTTTTGAAATAGCATTTTACAGATCACATTCAATTCAACCCCAAACCCTCCATGCAGGACAATAGAAATCCCTCCAAAGGAAACACATTTCCACCTCTGAACCCTTCCTGAGCAAAACCTGGACCCTGAAGAACAGCAGATAAACATATTTTACATCATTCATTATTTCAAAAATACAGCTTCTTAACCTACCTGTTTTCTCAGTCATAGAATATATTTAAATCTGTCTAATAATCAGCATAGAATCCACTAGAAATGCTCTTGGTTCTGCTGCATTAAGGCGGGCGTACACTGCGATTTTTTTTTGCACTTTTTGGGCCGATTTTCCAGTCGATCCTTCTTCTTCCTCTCTGCTGTAAACCCAGCAGCATGGCGGGGGGGCAATGAGAGAAATGGAGTTCTTTCTGTCAAACTGACAGACCGTAGTAGCCACGTTAGCTCAGCCATGTCTTTGTCCAAATACGTCGTCTCCTTTTCTTTTTAGGGCTTTCAGCACTAAACTGCACAAATATCCAAATATCCTAGTGAGCTTCAAATTCCTCTTCTACTGGTTTGCCTTCCAGATAGACGAGTCCGAGTCTCACTGCGGAGTCCCACCTGGTTTACCTGCTCATACATGGTTCAGCGTCAGCAGGTAGATTTTATCATAGCATCGGGCTGAACATGCACCCTGAGCTGTGAACTGTGCAGCTGTAGCTGCGTGCAACTATTGAATAAAATCGCACAGTGTCTGCCAGGCTTTATTAGGATTATAAGAGTTGGTAATAGTTCAGATAATCCTGAGGGTGGTGCTGAAAGCACTGAATGACTACTACCTACAAGGAACCTATGGCAAGGAGAAGACCCAGATGATCCTTCTGTAAGAACCTGGACTAGAGGACAAGGGGAGGCCACATCGTGTAAGACTTTCAGTACCGTCTTTAGCTGTTAGCAGGGACTGAATTGAAATGGAGAACTGGACGTGTCTGGATGTGAGATTTACTGAGACAGCCAAACAAAGTCCAAAGAGGATCTCTGCCCCAGAAGTCCAGCTTCAGATGAACTCTGCCTGGATCTGAACCTCCTGAAGCCGTCAGACCGGCTCAGTGGGACAGTTTCTGGTCCTACCCTGAAAGCTGTCTGCAGAAGGGCCCGTGCTCTGCTGGCCTTCAGGCTCCTGGGACCCCAGAGACTTCTCGGACTCCGTGGTGAGCGTCATCCCCTCCATCAGCTCCTCCACCATGTCGCTGACACACAGCTGCATAAAAAAACAACCGATCAGAACCTGGTCCGTCTGAGCTGGAGCGTAAAGCTGCACACCAACCTTCTGCAGCTGAGGGTCCACCCTCCATATCCTCAGAGTCTGGTCTCTGGACCAGGTGACCAGCTGGAAGTCCTTGGAGCCTAAACAGCAGCAGACAGGAAGGAGTCAGTGTTCCGATGGGTCAGCGGGCTGCAAGCGGTCTCACCTTCTTTCTGTGGACGCCACTGGAACTCCAGAACCACGTCGTCGTGGCCAACGAAGGCATGGACTGGGCTGTTGAGGTCCAGTGTGCTCCAGAGCAACAGACTGTTCTCCCTCCTCAGCTGAGGAACCATGACGGTTACCAGGCCGTTGGAGAACGGCTGAAGACACGTAAAAATGGACACATTTTTAGTTTTTAGTGCGACTTCCTCAGCCAGTGTTCCAGCGGCACCGGACTCACCGTGTAGCGGGCCTTCCACACCGGAACCTGGCAGGACAGGATGTTCAGGTATTTCCTGGGCTGTCGGTAATCCCAGAACTAGAAAGCAGACCCAGAAAGGCTGGTTAGTTCCTGAAGTTCTCTTTCCCTTTGGATCCACTGGTCCAGCACTAGAGGAACCTTTTCACCCCGTTTGGACCGATTCCGGGATCCAAACCTGAAGTCACCAGACTGAGGACCAGGAGGAGGACCTGATGGTCTCAGCGGGAGATAACTTCCCGTTTCCTCCCAGCTTGGACTGACTGAGACATCGGGACAGGGACGATGCGTGTCCTCACCCTGACTGAGTTGTCCTGGCTGGACGTGGCAAAGATGAACTCGTTGTCCGGATGCCAGTCGAGGCCGTGGATCTTGGACAGGTGAGCGGCGACGTACTCCACCGCCGTGTTGGGTTTCTGTTCAGACACATGAGGACGAACTCCATGACGCAAACTTTACTGTTTCACATCCAGCAGATCCAGTAGTCTGTCGCTGCCATGCACTTTAATCTGTTTTAATCAGAGGTTTGTCTGACTCTAGAAATCTAGAAAATATCTAGAAAGAAGAAACCAGGACGAAGCTGCTTCTAATTTCCAAGTTCCTGTTATTGTTGCCAAGCAAAGCAAAGAATCTGTAAACGAGTTTTTAAAAATGTAAACCAGAAATCAAACTTTGAAGAATGTTTTAATAAAGAAAAGGTTTTGGGAGCAACCTTGCCGCTTTCTCAGATTTTGTGTTTGCAAAAATACATTTTTTTTCTATTTTCTATTTTAATAAAATTTTCTATTTTTTTTTTTTTTTTACAGATTTTATATTTTCACTTTTTTTTCTGTTTTACAGATTTTATATTTTCACTTTTTTTTCTGTTTTACAGATTGAGTTTTAATGAATTGCATTTTTTTTTTTTTTTTTTTACAGATGGCATCCTCTTCACTTCTAGGCGGCTTTCCTCTGGAGTTTCTACTGGTCTGCAAAAACGTTATCAAAACCATTTTTATCGGCCAAGCGTTTATAATGAGACATATTTCCTGTAGAGCTGAAAGAAATAATCAGATCAATTATTCAAATAATCGTCAACTAATTTAGTTATCGATTAATTATTCACTCGAGTAAAGAGACTCTAAAACATGTCTTTAGCGGACAGAGCGACCCACTTAGAGCAGGAATTATATCAAAATACAAAAATCTAAAATGTAAACATTTTGAATTTAAAGGTATAGAGGACGATTTATTTCCAGGTGGATCATCTCAACCAGTGGTCCTCCTGACTGTCAATCATTCTGGTGATGTGTTTCCGTAAGGCCGTCCTTCGCGCTCATCCCGTTAGCGATCTTTTTCTTTCAGGCGTATATCTGTGGTGAGCTGCGGTTTCAGACAGTCAGTGAAACTCACCTTTCTCACCGCGGTTCTTTGAAAATGGCCGACGGTCGGGAGAGAAAAGTGTCTACGAAGTGGATGAGAAGAAAGGAAAGGCCTCAGAAGAGGCAGATATCCCAGAATGCTTTGCGTGGAGAGCTCTCTGAGCAAAGCATCATAGATATGCTGTCACAGCGGCACGCTGTCGCCATAGGCTGCCGCTACCCGACAGCAGCGGCTAATAAAGATGGTGGCGGCACCGCGCGGTGGAGCAGGAGTTACGTGACCATCGGAGCAAAAAGCAGTGATCATCTGTCTGAACGGTCAGTTAACTGAGTTCACTATAAAGTTCACTATATAGCACCTGCTGCATGTGGACACAGTAAGACTGTAGGAGCCATGAGGACAGCTCATTTCAAACAGGGCGTGCACCAGGAGAAATGGCCGTGCACGCTCTCGCACACGCATTTTTTTTTTTAAATGGAGAGGACCGGTCTTCACTACTAAAGGTATATCCTCCACTATACCTTTAAGATAAAATCTTTTTTAGCCGTCAATAGGCTTTCCGTTTCACCTGGTTTAATTTCATTTAAAAATCTCCTTTAAGGAACCTTTGGATATTCCATTATTAATCGATTAATTGAAAAATAATCAACAGATTAATCGATTAGCAAAATAATCACTAGTTTCCTGTTTTTTTGTGGCTAGCTGCTCTCTGAACTTTCTGACTGGCATGTCTAGATCACACATTTCTATTCTGGGTTAGGGTTGTCACGATACTAAACTTTTCAACTCGATACCGATACTAAAGAAAATATTCGATAATCGAAACCATTTTCGATACCACAAGGATAAAAACTCCAAATTTCAACAGAAATATTTTGATTAATAATTAAAATACAATAAATAAATGCAATAAACAATAAGAACAATATTTTGAGGCTGTATATTAAGCAAGCTTGATAAAAAAAACTTGATAAAAAACTTATAAAATTAAAATGAAGTGTTCCTTCCTTGGCTATGCTTTACACACATAGCAATGACGCTAGCCAAACCGGTTAAGAAACTAAAATAATTCTCAGCAGCTGCACCTGTTACAAAAAAAAGTCTGAAACTGAAAAGTGCGTAGAATTATTCAATCACACAGTGTTCAGAAAGTGCATTTTGCTCTATTCTGCACTGGTGGTAGCACTGTATCGATACTTTTGAAAATGAGCATTGTATCCGGATACAACATTTCAGTATCGATACTTTTGACAACCCTATTCTGAGTCCGTATTAATCTGATCCGATCCAACTGTTAAACTCTGCTTTAAGCTCTACAGCAGATGTGATGCAGCTTTAAACCTGAAACCAGCAACACAAACCAGAAGGTTCATTTTATCAGGGAGGGGCATCCAGAACAATCTTCAGGCTAGAATCCAGGACTTTAAAAACTAACATAAGGAAACACTGACAGCTGTTAGAGATTTATATTTATTTAAGGATGGACGTCATTTTAGTGTTATAAAAATCGTCTTTAACTAATTTAAAATTTGGTTGGCGTTTTAGGAACTTGTGGAAAGGAATGGTCTCACTCACCCTTTTGTCCCAGATTCTGACGTCTCCATCATGGCTGGACGCCAGCAGGTGTTGGTTCCTCCGATTCCACTTCACCTGAGCCGCTCCGGCTGAGACAGAGACACGGAGACGGTGGGTTCTACAGAACCAGTGTCTAACAGGACGCGCTGCATTCAGGTGAACTGGGACAGCAGCGTTACTCACCCACAGCAGAGAGCGCCACCGTGGGCTTCCGAGTGTCCCTGAGGAGGCAGACAGACAGACAGACAGCGGCTCAGTCACCCAGATCATCAGCGGAACCAGAAGGAGTTAACGGGTTCTGGTCTCCTCTTACCTGGTGTCCCAGATGTAGATGTACGTGTCCACAGAGCTGGTCACCAGGAGCTCCGGATCGAACCAGGACCAGTCTAGATCGCTGGAAGCACAAACACACCACAGTGAATCAGGCCTGCAGGCGGGTCGGCCCGTTTGACCAGAACCTGGGCTCACCTGATGACCCGGGTGTGTCCCTGCAGGGAGGTGTGGGCCTCCCCAACGCCGTCCCTCCACGAGTACAGATCCACACGTTGGTTGCTCTGCAAACAAAAAGCCAAGTTTTATTCAACCGCAGAACCGCCTCAAAGCAGCAGCGGAACGTCCAGAACTAATCAAACCTCTGAGTGGGACCGGTTAACCCAAACACCTGCTCTGAAACCTTAACATCCCTGCTTCATGTCTCCACTGGATCCAGATCTGTCCCGACTGCATATGAACCCGGTTTACTCCTCCTGGTGGACTGCCAGGCTCCAGAGGTCTCTGAGGGACGTCTGGAGGACAGCAGGGGACGCCACCAGGGCTGGTAACTAGTTACATCTAACTAGTTACAAGCTGATAACTAAGGTATTGATCGGTCAGACTAACCAGCTGTTTGCAACTAGAAAGAGTAACAAGTAACTAGGATACATAACTAGTTATTATTGCAAGTAAATTACTGGATGAAAAAATTGGTCACCAATAAGAGCAACTACTTACTGGGCAAAGTAACTGGTGACTAGTCATAATAAATAGTAACTAGTTGGTTGGTAAAGTAAGTAGTTACTAGGAAAAGTAACAAATTATTATTAAAAGAAACTAGTTACTAAACATAACAGAAGTAATTGGGCAAAATGTGCAATAACTAGTCAGAGTAATTAGTTACTAGTCAAAGTAGCTAATTACTGGGCAAAGTAACTGGTAACTTTGACTTGTTACTAGTCTGAGTAACTCGTAATTGGATGATGTAACTTTGTTCCTGGTTACAGTAATCTGTCAGAATAAGTCGGATTAACTTTTCTTTTCTGCCGTCAGACACCATCTTCTTCTGCTCCATTTTAAACGCTGAAACAGGTCGGCCAATCACATTGCAGTGTTAAGGTTTGGGTGGGACATGTCGCCGTGACAAAACCAAGAGCTGCTGAACCCAAAGATGAAGCTAAATAAATATATAATAATATAATAAAGCACAGGAGGACGTTCAGCTGCTGCTCTCACATTGGCTCGGTGAGAATCAACATCTTTAAAAGACGAAGAGCAGCAGAAAAACAGAAAGTATTAACCAGAAAGTATTAACCAGAAAGTATTAAACAGAAAGTATTAACCAGAAAGTATTAA